CATTTACGTAATTCGAATCCGCCCCTTTTTAGGATAGCGATTAATTCTATTTGCAACAACTTAGCCTCAGATAGCGAATTCGACCCACTCATGATATCATCAATGTAAATATCACGAGAGAGAACGTCCGAGGCGAGAGGGAACATCTCCCTTTCATCTCGGCTGAGCTGGGCAATGGTACGTAGAGCTAAAAAGGGAGCAGCGGATACCCCGAAGGACACAGTTTTCAACCGAAAATCTTGCAGAGGATCAGCGGGAGAAAATCTCCATACGATTCGCTGATAGTCCTGGTGTTCATTGGCCACCCAGATTTGGCGGTACATCTGTTTTATATCCGTGATGAATACAAATTGATGGAGTCGAAATCTCAAGAGAATTTGAGTGATATCCTGTTGGAGTTTTTGTCCAACCAGGAGTGATTCATTGAGAGATATACCCATAGGAGATGAACACGACGCATCAAAAACGACACGCAATTTGGTGGTGCAACTATTGGGGTTTGTGACGCAATGATGGGAAATATAAAAAATGTTTTCAAAGGATTTTGAAGGTTCTACAGCTTCCATGTGACCACTCATGAGATAATCTTTCAGGAAGTGGCAATATTCAGCATGGAGGCTCGGAGACTTCAATAATCTACGCTCTAGAGATGCAAAGCGAGAGAGCAGTAACGCGGGTATCACCAAAATAGGGGTCAGAGTCACGAAAGGGTAACCTTACAATATACTTCCCCGTGGGTGCTCTCGAGTGCGTAGAGCAAAACAACGTTTCGGCCTTCTCCTCTTCTGGAGAGTATCGAGGGGAATCAGGAATATTTTCGATTTCCCAGAATCTTCTGAGAATTTGATCAAGAGGGGCATCAGTAATTGAGATCATAGAGTGGATTGCAGGAGGCGCAATCCGTCCCATGACAATCCAACCGAACACTGTCTTAATTGCAGATGGTTGGTTGGGTTGGCCAGATAATTTTCCCTCTTCGAGGATTGAGGAGAATATATCTGCTCCCAAAAGCATGTCCACTGTGTTAGATACATTAAATGTATTATCTGCTAACTTGAGATTACCTAAATGTGTCCAATTATCAATGGAAAAACCATGAGTAGGCATATTGGCACATATATGGGGGAGTATTATGGCTTCTACTTGAAAAGTGGGATCACTTTGATCAAGGGGATTGACTAGACACGAGATATACTTAGAAGTCGAGGATGTCATTTGTCCTAGACCACTTATCGACATGGAAATGTTAGAGCGGGGTAGTCCGAGTTGAAAAGCATATTTTTCGGTGATAAAGGAGGCTTGACTCGCAGAATCCAAGAGTACCCTCACAGATTGAAAATTTCCTCTAATATCCAGTACATGGATTTGAGCAGTTGATAGGAGGATGGTCGAATGTTGAGCTGACATCTCTGAGGTAGGGGTGGATGGAGGAAGAGGATTAGAGCTGATAACAACAGTATACCAGGGCAAGAATCTCCTTTGAAACACAATAAACTGTGGTGTTTTTTATCCTTACAAAATCTACAAAAACTATCAGAGGAACAATTCTTGATACTATGCTTAGAGCCCAGACAATTTATGCACCATGGATTTTTTTACAGAGTTCAAATCGATCATGTGGGGACTTTGCCAGATAAATAGAGCATTTATAAATTGAATGTTCATTTGTATTACAAAGTGCACAACGGTTTGTCTCGGATGTGTTAGCAAACAATGAATGGGGGGCATTGAATCTATTTTCGGCAGGGGATTTTTTGTGTTGAGTATTCCTTACAGGGGAAGGAACATATTTTTTATTGTTATTGAACTGAACCAAAGACACGGAATCGTACGCTGTGCATTGCTTTTCGAAAAATGTGAACAGAACATCATATTTGGGGAGGCTTGAGGAGCCCTTCTCCAGCTCAAATCTTCTTAGTGTCTCTGAGTCTATTTTTTTACTAAGCAAATGAAATAGAATGAAATCCCATTGGTCTATTGGTAATTTTAACATTTTCAGAGCTGCTAAATTATCAGAAAAAACGTCTAGAATATGTCGTAAAACTTTAGGGGATTCGGAACTCAACTTCGAAACATTGTAGATCTGCTCCCAATAAAAGGTTGCGAGAAGTCTTTCATTTTGATATCTATTGTTTAAATTATCGAAAACCGTTTTATAATTGTTACCAGTAAGGGGAACATTTGTTGCGATAAGTAAAGCGTCACCATCAAGAGATTGCAAAAGATATTGGAATTTCTCAATATCAGAGAGTGTATTGTTATTGTGGATAAGAGATTTATAGAGATCATAAAGGTTGGCCACACTGAGTTTAGGTAACCTAACATTTGGAGGTGCTAACGTCTCGGGCGGAGGTACTGAACGCTCGAAAAGATCATAATGAATTCCCCTTATAGAAAAGTATTTTTTATCAACTTCTTCTCTTATATTTTTTGCTTCATCCATTGAACTACCTACCTGCACTGAGTAATACTGTACAAGAGTTGTATGATTAGAGTTAAAATCCTCATAAACCTCTTCGAGTTTTGCGTAACGCATTTTGAATGGCATGTGATAAGTTAAATCACCGCGAGCGTTATGCGCTGCAGTGTAGATATCGAGAATTCGATCAATAGCGACTTGGCGAATTGCTTCAACTTGTTTAATTTTTGCAGCTGACATTTCATTACGAATATAAAATAGAATCGACTTTTATACTTGATAATAATAAACAGTTGAGAAAAGTGAGAAATGTGAAAAATTCAAACGATACTACAAAACATATATAGATCGTACTCGATCTATTTTTGTATCTTATTAGTGGAGGTGAATGAACTTTTCAGAAATCATATGTTTTCGCAAAACGAAAGAGAATACCTGAATTTTGCGACAAAAAACGTGAACAAACTCACTAGGCACAAAAAAACTCTGTCCGCGCGCGACTGAGTGGCAAGGTCAGCGAGAGTGCTAGCGATATGGAATCCACAGATTTGTATAGAATATAGAATAATAGAGTACCTACTTTATTCAAATTCGATATATATAATCTGAATTGAAAAATTAAAATATCAACGAGAGATGATTATATAGCTACTTTTCGAGTAGTAGAAATTACAAAGAGGAGTTGAATATTATCTAATATCCGGTTCGATGAACCAATAAATGTGAGATATTTGATTAAAGTTAGAAAGTCACCCTATATAGTTGATTCGAATCGTCAAACAGGCCCTTTATGTTCCTACCTGGAATAATCCGTTGATTCGGCTTCAGGCTGACTTCCACTTAACCATTGGCTACTTCGGAGTGGACTGTATTATAATGAGGGGGTGAGCACACGAGAAATACCGGCACTGGGTTTTCCGGTAATAGTTTACCTCGGTTGAGTGTTTTTCGCCCGGGCTATCGAAAGATTTAAGACCACTGTCCGAGATGTCGTACCAGCACAGGTACGCACGCGACCTTCTTTTTTTGCGGTAGGTGAGAAAAAGCCATTTGACGAGCAATTTGCGCGTATGATCTACAGGGCGACATTTTTATATATGAGTTACGGAACGGGATAGTAGATAATATTGGAATCATATTCCTACCCCTATGAGACTAATTAATTCTTAAAACCTAACATGAACAATGAACAAAAATATTGTGGTTTAAAGTCCGAGGACTTAACAGTTACTATGTATAATTTATAATATAAAATATGTAGTTTTCCTTTACTTTTTATTTTATGTTGCCAGTAACCTTAACAAAATATAACAATAAGATTACATTCGTTCATTGAGTATGAAATGTTACTTTACTTCATACACAATGTTACAATAACTCTGCTGGAATGATTCATTTGCGAACATTACATTCATAATATTGCTGAACGTCCGTTTCAGTAGTTGCTGCGACCTTGCAGTAAGATAGCGACAATATCTGATGTAACATTACACATAACATTGAAATATTGCTGCAATATTGTTGAGATATTACTTTGCTTAGTGGGATAGGTTTTCTCAATGAATTTTTTTTTTTCGCTTTATCGACGAATAATTCGTGTCAATATGAATTGCTAGAACATGACTCAAACTAGATCGAACACATTCAAATCACTCAGTATGAATATTTCACGCTTGAAACCACTCATGAAATTACAATAAGGAACAATAAAGTGTTTTTCCACTCAACATTTCTCAGAACCAACTCTATACGAACCTAGAAGCTTGCTTAATCTTGTTTCATTTTATAGACTGAATATTTTTTGTTCCATTCATTTTGCCTGGAATGATTTTTTTCGATTTTTTTTCTCGTTGGTCGCAGCACTAGCACCAACGCCTCATAAGTTTAAACTTGTGTGAGTTAGGAAAACATACGTGCACAAACATCCATGGGTTAACAAGGGCTCGAACCCATGTCTCGATGGGAATTCCCATACGAACTCAGTTTGATGCGCTCTATATTTTATTAAAGCTAAAATACGCATGGACATAAAACAATGCAATCAAATATGTTGATAGCGAATCATTTATTTCAAACAAATATTCGATCAGTATACTTTGATTCAATTCCAATACACGATTTGGTTACTCGAAATGGATTATGATATTTCCATTTCATTTCAATTTTTTTGCAATAAAAACAGTTGTGCCCTAATCATTGTTTGAATCTATCATTTTATATATGTTTTGTTGTATTATATTCCTATCATGAACGATTATATTTCTTGATAAAATAAGGACAATCTAGAATTCAGAATAAAAACATAATTCAGAATCTATATGTACACTCAATCAGACCCGTATTTGAATTAACCAATTGATGATGTTTCTACGAATAGGAATCGTCGCATGAAGATATCAATATTTCCACACAAAATTATTTCTTGTTTTTCTGTAACTCCGATAATAAAAAGAAAAATAATGAAATAGATTTCCCAAAAATTCACTTTTTTCGATGTAACAATATTCAACATCCAAAGAGTTTGGAACCATATCTAATGAATCTGAGAAGAAGAATGAAAATAAGAATATATTATACTCACGGATGTGATAACACCGATTCATTACAAATGTAACCATCAGGGCATGTCAGCTGAGTGTTCAGGAGAACTGTGAAAGCGCCAGCATTTGCGCACGTTATGTAAGTGTTGTTTGACAGGCATCGTACACTCGTATTCTTACATATCTCTGTAGCAGAATCCAAGTTGAGACCGTCAATAAAGTTGAAGGAACTCAAGAACTGCAAGAATATTATAAATTCAGTTTTTTAATCTGTTTGTTATTGATGAGCATACAACAGATTCGAATATTTCCTCAATTAAATGAATGCAATAAGCTCGAAGTCATTTCCACACAGTGTTCATAAAATGAACAACAATGGTAGATTTCGGGAGAAAAACAACACTTTCCTGGCTGATGCCACGCAGGATATTGAATTACATCCTCCCGAAATCTATGCATCGACTCGTATAAAAGAATACTGATACAAGTATGTATCCTTCCGAAGTTGATGAAATTGAAATAATTCCTCCGTATAATTTCAAAACATTGAAAGCCAACCGATTGAAATTGGTACTCTTATTCATATACAAGAAATTCAACGGTTTCGGAGATATATGAGTATTGTAGTTACATACAATACAGCAGATTATTTCATCGCGATATTCATCGGTAACGATATTTTAGCATGCCATGAACAATTTTGTTCTTGATCTTGTCGATAATAAATTGAAATTGAAATTGAAGTAGCTGTTCGGAATGTCGACCGTTTTTGTTAATACAGAATCTGAGACGTTTATAGTTTGGTGATCATTTTTCAACAACCTCAATTCATTTACAATTTTCTGCTTCAGCTCTCCAACATTAGGAATTTCAATGGCATGAACTCTAGATTTCATGTAACCCCAGATCGAGGAATCTAGTGAATTAAGGTCAGGTGAACGAGTGAGCCAGTAAATAGGAGCGTCTATGCCTCGTCCTATCCACATATTAGGAAAATGCATATACAACTCTTACATAAAGAGGTCGTGAAGAGGTGATGCTCCATCTTGCATAAAGCAGATTTTCCTACGTATCTTAAGAGAAATGTCTTTTTATATCGTACCGAACTCATTTTCCAAGAAGTTGAGGAATTTGTCTCCTAAAGTCGCAGCCCAGACGTTAATTTTGAGATTATATTGAAAATGCATAACTTTACCAACGTGTGGATTTTCGTCAGCCCAGAAATGAATGTTGCGCTACTTGAAAACACCGTTTCTGATGAAAACTGCTTCGTCTGTAAACAATATTCTGTTCAAAAACTCAGGATATCTTTGGGTTCGTTCCAGCAACTCTTCGCAAAATCTCACTCTCATCTTAAGGATGTAGCTGTTGCTCTCTGAGAATCCTGCCTATATTCGCTTGTGTTGTGTCTATTTGTCTCGATAATTTTCTTTTACTCATCTCCCATCCACAGTATTCAATAATTCTTCCTCAACTTCTACAGTTCTCGCAGTTTTTGGTCGGCCATCATTTCTATTTTTCGTTTTCAAACATTCTGTTCCACGCAGTCTTTTCACAATCCTCGAAATTGTTCTCGAATTTTGAACGCATCGAGCGGGTAACATCTCTGCATATCGTTTTACAGAAGCATATTATGCATTTCCGAAGCACTCGCCAAGCACTAGAAGCGAATCAATTCGTTCAGACAACGAATAATCTGCCATTTCTTAAAATCTTAGTTGAAAATCGCAGTAATAATATAACACAAAAAAACACACGAACAAACCAACTACAACAATGTTGACTCGAATGTTGGTGACATGAACGTCAAAATAAGAGACAAAATTATTCATCATGGCCTGCTTAAATATTGTTACCGACGAATCTCGCAATGAATTGATCTGCTGATATTATGTGACTACAAAAACTCAAATATCTCGAGAACAGTTCAATATTTTGTATTTAAATAAGAGTTCCTTGCATGTAATTTTTTCGCTTCATCAAATTCTCCTGTTTTCTTCAGCGATAATAATACATGGGGAAAAAGTTGTCTTCAAAAAATCATGACTCACCATCTAAAAACACACTTAATGACAATATTAGAAATGCGAAAGTGTAACGAAAAAATTCATTTTAACAACATCCACTCATACACAACCTCTCAATCGGGTGGCTTTCATCGTTTAGAAGTGATGCGGAGAGATGATCTCAATTTTATCAACTTTGGGAGGATATATCTCCTTCAATATGCATCTTGGGATATAACTACACCTATTCTTCAATGTTATATCACCCCTGGGGTGCTCGGTTAACATTTTTGACTCACCCTGTATATTTGGAGGATGCACCATACAATACCATTTTATTTATACATTACATTCTCATTTTATATTTCGACATTTGACATTTTCCAGAATAATATTTCGATCGAAAAATACATACAATGAAGTGAAAGAAAGGAGAAGAAAAATGACTGGGTTCTTCAGGCATTTTTCAGTACCTTGGTATTTTCTAGAGAAAACTACCTATAATCAGCTGAAGTTGAAGACTTGATTATAAAGAAGGTGCTAAATTGAAATATCTGGATTTCTCATGTGTTTTTTGAGAGGACTCAGCTCGATTATTCTCTCAGTTGAAGAACATAATTTTATCCTGATCAACGAAATCCATGAATTGAAAAAAATATTCTTCGAAAATGCCAATATCCTGACCTAGATTTCTATAGTATTTGTTTTTTGTGTGAAGTAATAAATTTTATTAAATGTTAACTCATACTACTTCAACTTGACATGACATGTAGTTTTTCAGTTTTCTTATCGTGGTACTTACAGTAAATATAATAGCGACTGTTAACATGTTCACGTTCTTCAGAATGTGTATGAGTAGGTAATGAATAGTATTCTACACCTATGATCTTTATACCATAATTGAAGGCATCAATCAATTTGTATAATGAAGTAATGTTGGGAAATATTTATCTTGTTACTCTAGTATTTTACGACTATTTCAATAAAAAAATGGGTATCATTGAATAAATAGGATCCAACGTGAAATTTACCGGGTGACAACGAGATTATTGCACATGGCGCCGTCCAATGGTTTTTTCATGTTAGAATTTTGAAATTGGGGACGGTTATATGGAGTGCTAAGAGAATTGAATTGAGCGAAAACTTCTTTGTAAATTAACCGATTTTCATACAGAATGCACTGTTCAAGAGATACATTTGTTTTTGTTTAGGATCCATTGCTCAAAAACATTTGGAATTTTTCAGTAAAGACATATTAAGTGGTCAAAAAGAATGTAACATAAGCGAAAAAGTTTGGGACCTGCTGTATCCCAAGGAATTTTTTTTATCTTCCTACAAATCATCTAATCCTCGAGTCAATATCTCGAAATGGTTTTGGAATTCCTGACTTTTCTTACACAGGATGTGAAATATCGATATCTCTCAATATTATGTATTTTTGTACATTTCTGTGGATTTGAAGAAGTTCAGGCGATATTCGAAGCGTACTGTACTGTAATATGATCGAATTCATTGCTGGTGAAGTTATCCACCTGGCTTCAAGAGCATCAGCAGATCATTCGACAACAACTAAATGAGCGTTTTTTGAATGATGTGTGAGATTTTGTCAAATCGTCTGCTCATATTGATGCTGCTTAAAGTGCTTAATAGTGTACTTGTGAAATTATGAAACCTTCATTCAGATGGATTGTCCCAGTTAACATCTTGAAAGAATCTAGTGATTTTCTAGTTGAGTCAGTTTGAATAAATTCGAATGCATGAGCTAAATGTAACAAGAAGCAGGTGAACACTTCCAAAAATTCCTAGAAAAACTCAGAAATCAAGCGAAAAAATGTAAATTGTTGAATAAAGATGGAAATTCAATCGATACAATAGCGGAGAAATTCAATTCGGTTGAAATGCGGAAGCAATATTATCAATGGGAGATTCTCATCACAAACGACACAAATTCCGTAGAAGCGGTGAATCGGCAGATTAGTAATTTCAATAATGATTATTTCGGCCGATCACAGGCTGTTGATAATGTTAACTCGAGATATCAAAGATCGTCAAGACCATACCATCCAGTGATTCTAGTCTAGACTAGAGAATGTTCTTTGTCGTGATCTGGAGAGAATGTGGCTACAGATGACAGAATACGTCTCCAATATAGATGACGACTAAACGACTTCGTGTTAGGTATGTGGAATAATGCTTGATCTACTGATAGATTCAGGGGGTAAGTCTTTTCTGCTCGATCACAATAGGTGGGAGAGCCTCAAGGAGTAGAGAATGGAAGTCTGTAATCAAGTAGAGAAACCAAATGAGACATTTTCAGCGTACCGAAGTGAAAAACCGTTCGAAGTTTTAGGATAATTCGAATCTGAAATGAGTTTGGATTCCTAATCTGACACGACGGTGTTCCATGTTATACTAAAAGTGGGAAAAGAAATATATTGGAAAATGATACAACGATATAGCCTCATACCTCTTGAGGGCAGAATCCAGTTTAAATTCGGTTTCATGACCTGTTCCAAAGTTCAAAGATATGTGAGTTGATATACATATACACCAGTTTGCCAGCCATATGGAAATAGTACCAATAACTTCAGGATCCTATCGTACCCGTCATAAAAGAGAACGGAAAAGAGCGTATCTGTATTGATATGAGACATGCTAATTCAGCAATCATCAGAGAAAACCACCCCTTACCGAAAATTGTAACCATTCTACCTCGGTTCAGGAATGCGACATTATTCTCGGAGCTGGATTTGAAAGATAATTTAAACCAGATTGAATTTGAAGCAAAATCTTGTCCACTCGATATATTCAGAAGCTGAAATATTTATCTATGAACCAAGGACGATAACAGTCTTTTTTTATCGCTTGGAGCGCACGAGAGGAAATCCCTATAATGTTCAAAGAACATTGTGCGTTCCTAGGGAGGATAGGGACAGGAGGTAGGTATTGGATTCTGTTCAAGTCGAGTTTGTTATTTGATAGCCGTGACCTCAGCCGATGATAGCAATCAGGCAAGACAAAATACATTTTTTCTACGAGCGTGCGCAAAGTAGTACTTTTCCGCACTCATTTTCGTGTGTTAAGTAACACTTTTCCGCACTCAGTGCGGATATGGGTGTTATCCGCATGACGTGCGGATGAGTAGAACTACCCGAAAATATCACTGTTATGGAACATTTATATTCAATTTATTTGCGGTAGACTGTATGCACTATAAGAAGCCGTTATCCCTTTTACTTTTCAATCGTTCTTCCTGACATTTGTTCGTATTGTGAATTTTCTATAATTTTATTTCATTGATATATAATTATTTGTTGTTCAACTAGTTCTATCAAGTTTCACAAGAAATTATTTAATAAATTGTAGTTCAAGTTGAAATTCTTTTATTTTCCTTTTTATCGGATATGAGGCTCGTAAAAGAACGTTGTTCCTAACACGTGGGCAAAGTGTCTTTTCAGCACGCAAAAACTCATTCGAACTCCGCCCCGCGTCGTTCGCCTAACTGTATTTGCGTGCGGAAAAGTAACACTTTGCGTACTTGTTAGGAAAGTAACTATTTCCGCCAAGGTGCAAATTGAATTTCTTCGTCTACCTCAAACACTTATATTTACTGTAAGAACTTCAGAAACGATAAGATTTCCACAGAATGTTTCGCTAACACTGTAGCTTCGTCAGGTGATAAATAATTTTGCCATGGATTTCCATAAAGTAACTGTTGAGTCAATTCAAAACTCATATCTACATCACGGTCCTATTCACACGTGAAATTCATAGGATTTCATGAATAATTAGTTCGACAATAGCAAATGACAGTTTTTGTCTCCGCGCGGACCATCAGGGTTGTCAGTTCGATTTTATATTTCATCATTTACTGTAGAAAATTCAGATCTATTTCATGCCATTGTAATTCCGAAAAAGGATAATAAAATGGAACTATGACGTCGAAACATTATGTACTCTTAGTGATCAGGAACGGACCTATTTCCAATAAAATAAAAACAAAGTCAACAAACATTGTTTTTGGGAGTATGACAAATTGATATTAATCATACAGGACGTGAAAACATATTATGAATTGAGAAAAAACCCTTATCACGAATCTGTGATCAAGGGTCTATGAAAATAACGAGTTTCCATCTTTCAAGTTTGAGGGTATTGAAATGGAAAGAAATTGACATATTTATAAAAAAAATTATATTGAGAATTCGCATTCTCTATGTGATGAAAATGTCAAATCTTCCTCTGTTCATTCAAAAGAAGACAACCACTTTCCTGTTTATATGTCACGACGAACATTGAATTATATCTGTTGAACACACACGATAAGGATTTGAAGACGAAATCTTCCGGAGTTGAGAATTCAGCATTCTCCTCTAGATGAATTCAAATATATATATACAGGGTGATTTGAAAGTGTGCCGTATCCCTTGCATGAAAATGGGGCGAGAGAGTTCCTATCAATAAGGGTCCGGAAATGCTTTCTAAGGGAGCTACACCTCTTTGAATAGGACACCTCAATGACGATTTTCTCTCTATAACTTTGGAATCCTTCACAATAAATTCTCAAAACTTGGTGTACGGCATGGAGATGTGATGGTGGATAAGACTGAATTCAAAATTCTGAAACTTAATTCAGGGAGCGTCACATGCGGCGGAGGGTAAGTGTAAAACATCCCTTCTCCTTTTGATATTCAAGTTATTGTGATTTTGTTAAAAAATTATAAACTTCTAGAGTTTTTCATGTGAAAAAAGTACTTTCAGTTCATTCCGATAGAGCGTACTATTTAGGAGAAAATCGACTTGGAAAATTTTCTGATTTGCGTGAAACACAATTACCTGAATATCAATAGAAGAAGGCATGTTTTGAAACTTACCCTCCGCCGCATGTGACGCCACTGGATAGAATTTTGGAATTCTGAATTGAGAGTCTCATTAACCATCAAATGTTAATGGCGTACACCAATTTTCGAAGATTATTGTTGAGGATTTTGAAGTTATAGGGACAAATAAATCGTATTTGAGGGTGTCCTATTCAAAGGGGCGTAGCTTTCTTAGGAAGCATTTCCGGACCCTCATTGATAGCAATTTTTCGCCGCATATTCATGCAAGGAATACGCGTCTGGAAGGATGCCACTCACTTCTGAATCACCCTGTATGCAAATAATGTCATTCTGAATATTCAACAGAAAAAACTACTTTCCTAGCTATTTGCCCCATCGAATCGAATTATATATATTCAACATCCAGAATGAAGAATTATTTGGAATTGGAAATTGACATTCTTCCCCAAATCGGATGATGTATTCGGGTCGATTCTGTTTGCAAATAGCAATATGGTTGTAGAGAAGATATTGCTATCATAGCAAAATTCCAAAAGAGTGGGATTCTAATCATCGATTTTTGGCAATATGATCTGTCAATTTCAATGACATCTGGTCAGCTTTCTTGCTATCTTGGCAACATCAATTTTGTGCTTGCTATCTTATAACAAGGTAGTGGATTCTCTGTTCTTGCACTACAAATTCTTCCAAGTGCATGAAAATTCAGAAAATAGTGGATTGAATACATATGAGAGTTCAATTGTGTCACTGACTACTTGAAAACCTTTCCTCAAAGTTTCAATTCATAGAAGAATTATTGAAAAACTCAGAATGGGGATTACAAACATATAGGATAGGTTCACTGCTGTGACCAACTACTTGAAAACCTTTTCTTGAAGTTCCAATTTGTAGAGGAAATATGAGACTACAATTTCGACATAGTTTCGACGTAGTTTATCAAGCTGTTTTGCTAGAATAATAAAAAAAATCACGATTCGTCAACAATATTGCTATTACTTGAACTTATAACCAGTCTTGCAGTTACTCTGCAAACAGAATACAAAACTTCAT